TTTAAAGACACAGTCTGAACCTGCTCTGACTCCACCCACATTTAAAGACACAGTCTGAACCTGCTCTGACTCCACCCACATTTAAAGACACAGTCTGAACCTGCTCTGACTCCACCCACATTTAAAGACACTCAGTCTGAACCTGATCTGACTCCACCCACATTTAAAGACACAGTCTGAACAGTCTTCTTCAGATCTATATTTTTTGTGTGCAGTGTCCTGAGATGACATTTGTTGTGACTTGGCACTATGTATATAAATACATAAACTGAACTGAATTGAATTGAACCTGCTCTGACTCCACCCACACAGGTATGCACAAGAAGTCTCTGGAAATATCCAAGAAGTGTTCCACTCCCACTGCAACAGACTCAACGCGCTCTGACTCTTTCTGCAATGCTGCGGAGCAGCAAGTCTGCGAGGCTCAGGAGGAGGAGGAGGCGGAGCTTCTGGAAGAGGAGGACGTAGAGGAGGAGGTGGCCATTGACTTGTCCAGCTCTTCCAAACAGCAGCAAGAAGTCGTGGCTTCAGCAAGGACCAGCCCCTCGCCACAACGACAGAGTGGCAGTGAATCAGACAAGCACAGCTGAATGTGGGAGGAGCCTCAGCAGAAAATCCTGAAATCTGACTGATGCTTCTTTCAGGGAACTCAGCCTATAAACAAATAGCTGTGATTTTTGATGCTAAGCAAAGTTTATTGAATTAAATGTATTTTTCTTTTGTTTACCTGTTTATTTAAAATGTAACATTGTTACAGTCAGAGTCCTCACAGACTTTCAGTAGATGTGAATCAGAGGACAGCTTTGTTTTAGGGAGATGGGCTTGAAGACACAGGTCTGCAGATCTCCCCGAGTGAAACTGAAACATCGAAATATTCGGACTGCTTAAAAAACATGACAAAACTCTGGTGTTGTGATGTCAGAAAACACTGTTGCGTAAAAGTAGAGCATCATAAGACTGTCATGGTTTCAGCTTGTTCTCCATGACTGAAGAAGATGTAAAGGTTACAGTTTGTGTTTGTCTTTGTTTTGTTTTCTGTTTGTGTCAGATGAGACTTTTATTGATTCATGTTGAAATCTCGTGTTTTATAGTCTGGTTCTGAATGTAAATTAAATCTAACTATTAATATTTATTATTATTATTAAATGTTTGTAGAGTAGGTGGCAAATAAAATCATATTTTTCAAACGTCATACATTAATTCTCTAAACATCAGTATCATGACATCAATGTGAAGGAATTATTAGGGTTTATGTAATAAACTGATTATAATTACACTACACATAGTTTGTTTTATGATAGAACTGTAATGACGGATAGATGTGATTTATAATTAGCTTGATTCTATATTAATAACTACATGCGTCTATTTTCAAATGTGTTTTTATCAATTACTGGGTATGAAGAAATTTATCGGGGTTGTTTACTACTGACTTTTGTAAACACACTCCACATTTTATAGGTTTATCTTAGGTGAAACATAAATATAGTTTTATAAACCATTGTGTGATCATTTCTGTGATTCAACTGGTGATTTTACGTACAGACTGGTCTGAGTGGCTGTCAAAGATGGTTAATTGAGCCGTTGTTTTAACATTAGAACAGGAAACTTGTATGAGGATGTGACTCTAGCTGTAGTGTGGCCCTTTTTGATGACACAATGACAATAGGTGGAGTCAGGGCCTGAAGAAGGTTATAAAAGTATTCTTGTTTCCTGAATCCGGGCTGAATGCAGACACTAGTGATGTGCAGATCGATACTGAAATATCAATACTACCGATACCAGAACTTTATGCTCTAGAATCGATACTAAAATCAAAATATCGATAGTTTGATACTTCAGTTATTTTGCATAATGTTAACATTAACATTACATTAACATTAACAGGATTATAGTGGAAAATAACTGAACTATTCAAATCTTGTTTAAATCATATGTGGTTGGAGGGAACTACTTTTTCTTCCGCTTGGGTAATGCATCAGCACAGTGGCATGTGTTCAGTCAGTCATTCAGTCTAGATGTATGGCAGGTCATTTTAACATAAAATCTGTGTCGTCTGACTATAATTACATTCTAGATGAGGGGTTACAAAACGTTTTCATTCCATGACCCCCCCAAACAGCATCAGTTCTGGCCAAAGATCTTCTTGCAAACACACAAACAAAGTTACAAAATATACAAAGTAACAACTTTTAGAATGTTTTTTTCTCACTTTTGTTCACTATTCAAAAATTATTATACCTCTTTAGAATAATAATTTTAAATTGTGCTAAACAAATACAGTGTTAGAGTTAGAAAGACTTTTCGATTAATAAATATAATACTAGGTCATGTTTTATTTATAAAGTGGTTGTTTGAAAAACGCCACTTTTTAAGATTTACCAGACACATTATGTGTGTTATCACAAAGTATCAGTATCGGATTAGTATCGCTGATACCAGGCAAATTTTACTCAGTATCAGTGTCGGAAAGAAAATTGGCAGTATCAAACATGACTAGCAGAGACGAGCACTGAGCTAATATATCAGTATGTATATCGGTGTGTATATCAGTGTATATACAGTGTGCTGTGTGGATGTATGGAGTCTTCTCACACTCAAACATTCATATATTGGTGTATTTTCTATCTGGTACAAACATGTAACAAGGTAAAAGAACGTAATTTTCTCTTTCAGGTATTTAAAGGGATCCATGATTAGTTGTAACATTAGACTTTATTTCATAAACATTTATTTTAACTGTAAAATAAAGACTATAAAAATACTGTAGGATGTTTAGTTTTGTACATTTTAAAATATATATTTTAACACGGACAGAGCCATTTTATTTCCCCACAAAGCATTCTGGGTAAATGATGACGTGGATAGGTCCTCGGTGCGAGGCTGCTAGCGAGCTATATCCACCCTGAAGGTTAATCTTGGACAATATCTGATGATCGACTCTTTTAAATGAAACCAGAGAGCGTTGACAGAGAGGAGAAGGTAGAAATGACTCAGCCTGGAACTGAAAATATGGATGGAGGACAACAGAGCTGCTTCATGGAAGAACAACCTCAGATTAGCCTGTTAGCCTTTGTGCTAGCCCTGACGTTATATTGCCTTATATGTATTAGCTCGGCGCTAGCGCGACAAACAAGCTAAACTGAGGTCCTCCATCCATATTTTCAGTTACAGCTGAGTCATTTTTGTGTTCCCCTCTCTGTCATGTGGATGGAGGACCTCAGTGATGAGAGGAGAATGTGTAGCACTGAGCTAATACATATATATGGTGATAGCATCGGGGCATCAGCCACAGACCTGCACAGAGCAAGGATCATCTTCATGAAGACATCATGAGGAGGCACAACCCTTAACAGAAAAACTAAAAACCACACAAGGATAAATGAGGGAAAAAACATCATATTATATCAACAAAATGTGACACACTATGGTGTTTATAAAAAGAAAAACTTTGCACAGAGCAGGGGGTCTTAACCTTTTTGACCTCAGGGCCCAATTTATTGAACAAAAAGTGTCACGAGGTCCAGTCAGACATTACCAATGTATGGATCAAAATGATAATTATTATAAATCTTGGTTTAATTTTTATTGTATTTACATCATAACTAAACTATCATAACTAACATAACTAAGTTAAATACACTTACAGTTTAAAAGTAAAACTCCTGTCAAATAATCACAAGACATGATTATAACAAACATTTTATATTGTAACCTGCCCATAACTATTATTTGAATAAATACAAAGGTCAGTCAACAGACCACTCAGGCTTATCAACACATATAAACAATAACAAAAATAGACAATTTAAAAAATAAAATTGTGGGCATAAAATGAATACATTAAAAATGGTTATTGTTTCAAATTTAAAAAATGTAAAAATATATTTGATAAAGTACTGTTGAACGGAGTGTAGCGCAGAGGTGTCGACGTTGCAGAGAAACAAAAATAAGTGAGCCTTGGAGTTTCTTCGGCCTCAGTGTAGGCATATTCATTTGGAGCTTTTACAGAACATTGCTCTCTCATCAACGGAGCGCCAAAAAGTGCAAAGAAAAACGGCTGTGTCTCTATGTGTCTGTGCAGGACGTGACGTAGTCACGTATACACAACAAGCATCTTACCACAACACAACACTAGGTAGCAGTGCCGGAACACAGTTTGAGTAAGAGCATCCACAACATCAAAGTTTAACACCCCCACTCGCTCGTAACTCACTCATATCATCCTGAAAAACATATAAAACACAACATTTCTTTCTACCTTAGTTTGTGTCAAACATATTTTCATTAAACTTTCTTAGTTTCAACTTAGTAGCAGGTTTTGTCATCAAATCTTCAAGCATTTGATCAGTAGGACAATACTCCAGTACTATTTTTACAGTGTTAACAACTCCTCTAATGAAGTGGTTCTTAATATCTATATGTTTGCATCTTTGCCTGTTCACTGGGTTCTTAGCAAGTGCAATAGTACCTTGGTTGTCTTCGTACACTTTTGTTTGTGCGTACTGATAGCTGTCAATACCTTTTAGAAGTTGTTCTAAATAGAGACATTCTTGTATAGCTGATGCTAATGAAACGCAGGTAGACAGTGCCACTGTTGGTTGTTTCTTTGTCTTCCAAGAGATCAAAGAGCTTTCATCATTTAAACTAACACAATATCCTGTTGTGTTCCTTCTATCAGTTGCATCTGATGCCCAATCAGCATCACAGAAGATTGTTAGTCCAAAATTTTGTGAGTTGTTTCTTTTAAAACTGAACTCTTTTTCTGTTGTACCTTTGAGGTATCGGAAAACATGTTTCACTGTATTCCAGTGCTCTATTGTTGGTTCATTAAAGTGCTGGGAAAGTTTACTGACCACAAAACTTATATCTGGCTGTGTACAAGTGGGTAAGTATATTAAACTTCCCACTGCCTCTCTGTACTTCCTAGGATCTTCCATTTTTTTCTGCATCATTTGAGTACCCTAGCTTTGATTCACATGGAGTCTCTCTGGGTTTACATTCCTCCAGTCCAAATCTCTTTAGTATTTTGGTTACATATTTTTTCTGTGACATCTTTACTAGGTTTTCTTTTTGGTCAAAATCTATTCCCAGAAAATTTTTCAGTTCTTCCTTGATCTTTCATTTTGAACTTTTCATTTAGCATCTTTTTCACTTCTTTCAAAACTTCTTCACTGTCAGCTGCGATGATAAGGTCATCTACCCATATCAGTAGGATCAGTTTTTCACCATTTCTCTCTAGGATACAAACACTGATCACTAAGATTTTGTTTGTAACCATTTTCACTCAAATATGTACACAGTAAAGCATTCCAGTTTCTGCCGGATTGTTTTTAGACCATAAAGGGACTTTTGTAGTTTGCAAACAAGTTTTCCCCTGTTTTAGACTTCTTCTCAAAACCTTCTGGTTGGTCTATGTACATTTCTTGATCAATGGGTGCATGCAAATATGCAGATTTAACATCCATCTGATGTAGGATTAAATTTTCTTGCCCTGCCTTTTGCGTAACCACTCTTACACTCGACATGTCAGCTGTTGGTGAAAATGTCTCTTCATAGTCAATGCCTTGTTTTTGATTATAGCCTTTTGCTACGCGCCTTGCCTTGTATTTTTCAGAACCATCAACCTCATTTTTAAGTGTAAAAACCCATTTTCCCCCAATTGTCTTTTTGTCCTGTGGCAGCTGTGTAAGTACAAATGTTTCACTTTCCTTCACTGACTGCATCTCTTCTCTCATGGCTTCTTTCCACTGCTTTGAGTTTGGTGAAGTAATGGCTTCCTTAAAGGTCTGAGGAACATCACATACCATTTTGTAACAAGAGTCCACACTCATTTGTAGTTTGTCTTCTGTATCCTCAGTTTCAAAGTCCTGTAGATGTGCTGGTTTCTTTCTGTTTTTTGTGGGTTCCTTCTGGTTCCAGTCTGTTCAGGTATGGCCTCAGAAACATCACTTTTGTCAGGTACATTTTCAAAACTTTCACTACCTTTTTCATCTTTGTCGAAAGTTCTGATATACAGGTCCTCTTGAACATGTTCTGTGTTTGGATCAGTTTGTGTCTCTTCTTCTGTTGTTGTCCTGGTTGTGAATTTTACCGGTCTATGTTTCTGTATCTTTTCAGTGTTTGGATAAAACACTAGATACACTGGGCTGTTTTTATCATAGCCTATGAAAATGCCTTGTTCACATCTAG